CCCTCGGTCTCCTCTCCCTGGGCATCGGCTTCCTACCTGTCCTGGGACCCTGGTCCTGCTGCTCCTCAGAGGGGGCAGACCTGGGGACGCGCGCGGGCCTCCTCGGGTGATTGGGCAGATGTCTTTCCTCCACAGCTTCCTGTCCTCCCCGGGGCCCCAAATCAGGTGCACGAGAAGGGATCGTCCGCAGCCTGGACAGGCCACGGTGTGAGCCCCCCTGTGGGGACGGGAGGAAGTTTTGGGTGTTGGTGGGATTCAGGAGTAACCTCCCTCTCTGCTGCATGACTGGTAGAGAGGCAGGGTGGGACGGATAATAGAGATAGTGCCACCTATGGGGTCAGCTAAACAGGACCTGTGACCAGGACCAGAAATATCCCCACCCCCGCGTGCCCCGCTGCCCCTGGGAAAAAATAAAGGAGATTCAAATACCGAGTATGGCATTTTGGGGTGGCCTTGGGGTTTGGGGCCTCAAGAGAGCTGCTGACTCCTTCATGTTTTGATCTTTGAGAACAGGTCCTCTAGAGGGTCAGGGGATACTTTATTCTTGTCCACCCTACACTGTGCCAGGGTCTGAGGAGCAGGGTCTGAAGGGCTGGTGTCCCAGAAGCAGTGCCCCAGGTGTTTGGTGTCTGCTCTTGGGGCTGCCTCCCCCTCTCCCCAGAGGTACCAGATTGGCCTCTACCCCCTCATCCTCCCAGTAGGAAACACCCCCTGCCCCTCAACAGACACACCCCCATCCCTGAGGAAACTGAGGCCCATGCAGTAGCCCAGAGCTGGATTCCTAATCCTCTGACCCCTTAAGATCTAGCCTAATAAATTGACCTCTTGATTCCTCCCAGGTGGATGGGATCAGGGCTGTTTCTGCAGGTGCAGCGCAGGCCCCTCCAGTGGTGTGGGCACAGACCTTCCCCATCGAGGCATCTTTCAGCAGTTTTCCGGCATTTAAGATCTCCTCCTCCCCTCTTCCACCCTTGACCCTGAAGAACTCTAGAGTTTCTCCTGGGCCCGGGGCCACCTCCCCAGACCCTCAGGACCTCACACTGCTCTGAAGCACAGTTGCCCGGTAACCCCAAGTACAGAGATCAATGGGGTCTAGAGAAGGGAAAAGGTAAGGCCGAGAGTGGAAGAACCCCAGTGCTCTGGAAAGGAACCCAGGCTGCAGTCCAGGTTGGACACACCCCACAGAAGCTCTGTGCTGAGGGTGGGGCTAGGGGTTAAGGCCTTGGACTCTGCATGTGGGTCAGTGTTCTTGGGGCTTGGTGCTACAGTGCTGGGTGTGGGCACATCTGCACTTCTGAGTGCATGTTAAGATGTGTGTGTGGCCATCTGTGGGCGAGTGTGTTTGTGCCCTGTGTAGTGATGAGATGTCTTTGTGGAAAGTAGGTTCTTGTGGTGTTGAGTTTGGAGCTTGCAAGTCCAAGTATATTTAGTTTAAATATTTATTGAAGACCTCAGGACTGTGGATTGGATTAAAAATACAACTTTCTCAGAAGTTCACACTTTGGTGATTTTGTGTCTGAGAGCATGTATAGATATGTATTAAGGTGTGGGGGGGACAGGGCGGGGCATTGGGACTTCTAAAGCGGGAATGAGGTCCGTTCTCTTTGCTTCTCCACTGCTGAGATGGACATGGACTCGTGGGCTGCAGAGGTGGGGCCCAGTTCCCGTGGGATGTCCAGGCTAAGTGGCAGCAAACCCTGGGGAACCCATCCTGCCATGGAGCCCCTGCCCGCCCTGCCTGCCTGGCCCTCCCTGAGCCCTATGGGCAGACGCAGCTGCTGCCAACAGTCACCCTGAGGAGGTATCTGGAATAGAGGACCGCTCCCGCTCCCATCCCTGAGTGAACAAGCCTCAGCGGGCCGGCAGGAAAGGGCTGTGAGTCACTGCCAGCTGAGCCTCCCAGGCCAGGGAGAACCGTGCAGAGGGAGTGACCAGTGTGGCCCCAACCAGCTCCCAGATGGGGAAGAGGGAAGGGGGCTGAGGGTCAGTCTGCAGTTTTCTCCGGCAGTAAGTGAGCTCCGGACACTCCAGCCCTGGGATGGGAGTAGTGGTGAGCTGGCTGGCTGGCTGCCCTGGTCAGCAGCCTTGTCCTTTCCTCCCTGGGCTGACCTGGTGACCTGTGAGGGTGAAGCTAGGCCAGGCCTGTCTGCAGGGGGTGAGGGGTGGGTCTGAGGGTGCCTGGGACAGAGCAGCCCCTGGTTAATCATTTCCCTGCCGCGCCTTGAGCAGCTCTCCCACCTCCAAGCACTTCCCTGGGCTCTCGTGACACTTCCCCTAGACCAGCCGTGCCAGAGGGACCTTAGACCACAGTGACACCTCAGCAGGTGGAAGGGGAGCGTGAGGCCTGACGCGTGGCCCAAGGACATGGACTCTCTCTTCTGTTCTCTCCTTCCTAACCCCTGTTTCTTGCATTCACAGAATACTTCCGGGGCAGCTCTCCTGTCCTCTCCTGACTTTAACCAGAGCAGCTGAGCCTTGAGATGCCATATGTGATTCAGTTTGGGAAAATAGGTTCTACTGCTAAACAAAACATCTAATGAGCACTGTACTTAGACTCCTGCAGTAGAATAGATGGAATTTAGACATCAGGAAGAAAATTCCACAGGGAGAGATCAAACCAAGCTCTCCAGTGAGCAGCAGGCAGAATGGCTTCAGAATTAAGAGAAAGAAGATGGGGCCCCAATCCCCAAAGGATGGAGTTGGTGCAGTCAGGAGTGGGGAAGGAGAGCAGCCCTGCAAGGAGAGGGTGTGATTCCCCAGACACAGGCCGGGAGGTGGAGGGGAGGGCTCTGCAGAGGGAAATAGGGGTGGGGCATCTTCCCCGGGTGGTGGCATTGGCTGATGAGAGTGTTTGGCTGTGGGCTCCTGAGAAGGTGGTGCTGCCTCTTGGTTAGGACCAGTGGCCCCCGACCCCGGCATTCTTTTCTGTCAGCTGGAATCATGGTTAAGGGCATGATGTTTTGAGAGGCTGACTTACGTTGGAATCTTGGTTCTTTTTTTTTTTTTTTTTTTTTAATTAACTGTGCTGTCTTTGGAAAGTATTAACCTTCTGTACCTTACTCTCCTTGTATGCAAATTGGAGGTAGCATCACCTTACCCCACAGGGTTATAAGGATTAACGTCCAGGAATTGTAGAATACTTAGAACAGTGCCTGGCATTATTTGCTTTCTCATTTCCTCCTTTATGCACATATTTATTCTCCACCATATTCAGCCAATGTGAAGCCCTATTCTAAGCCTCAGTTATGCATTCTTTTACTAGGGTCATGGCAAATGCACCTGCCCAGGTTCTTCCTGGGGACTGACCGTTGCCCTTCTTTTGCTTCCATTTATACCCACTTCTCTACTTCTCTCTCTCTCTCTTTTTTTTTTTTTTTTTTTTTTTTTTC